ATATTTTTTGGGTAGGTCCACAAGGGATTGATTATTGAGTAATTTCAAATGATGAGAACATTTTTAATTAAAAATTTTTTCGAAATTATTATTTATTGGCCATATAAAAGCATTAAATCAAATTACATACCCAAATTCAAAATGTTACAACCAGTAGTAGAGGGTAACCTTGTTGTTCTTTTACAAATCCATCCGCATAAATAGAAGTTGCTTGTTTCTCAAACTTGAATTTTTTTTCTTTTATTGTGTAGCACTAATGAGGTTAAAAGATAAGTCATCTATATTGAATTAGGGAATTGTTATTCTCGTGACATCTCCAACACCAAGCGAAATAAAACCTTAGTATTTGTAAATGCTTTTGCCAATGGGGGGTCGCTAGGTAGTAGGTACATTGCATTTTTTTCAAAGTTCCTTGTTATAGTTGATCAAAGTGGTCAAAGTGGTCAATATTTCTTTATTATTATTTCACAAAGCAAATAAGCTATTTAAAAGTTAAAATAATTTGTCACATGAATTGATAATAAGGAAATCTTTGCTATATAAATGAAATTATAAAGAAAGTGTAAAATAATGAAATGATTTGTCAGCAATATTTGTTTATAGACAATTGAAATAATTGTACAGAAAGTTGATAAATATTTTTTTAATTACTTTTCTAATAAATTTTTTTTTAATAAAATAGGTCCTAAATGACCAAATAAACCCTAAATGAGTTGAGTTGATGTATATCAATTCACGTGATTCATTTAGTTGATAAGTTTAAAAAGTTATTTTCACAATATGTTAAGATATGGTCGATGTAAACAAATAAGATATGGTTATGATAACTCATTATTTTGTTAAGATTATTAAAAAATTATTTAGCTTGATTGCTATTTTTTGTATTTTTTTTAAATAGTTAATTATGATGTTGAGAATACCAATTTATAAATTGATTTTAATATATTAAATAATAAATATTAGTCTTTTTTTAATTGTTAGTTATTTTTAACAATCAAATAAAATAAAATTAGATGGCCTTGAGAAAATGATAATGGCCATAACCACACCCAAACAAATGAGAATGCTGTGGTGTAGTTTGCCTTGTTTGTGTGAACTCCACTATTTTTAATAGTTGATAGAAGGATGAGCCCTCAATATAAGAAGTTTTTATTAGGAAAGTTATTAAAAAAGTATTATACGAAAAGTTGATAAATATTATATGCAAAATTAATAAGTTTTGTAGTGAAATTAAATTAAAATTTTAGTTAAGTTGTTAATTTTATATATATATACACGTATATATATTTTGGAACATGAGGGAATTTTAGGGAATGAAAATTTTTTTTTTAAGTTGTTAGTGGTTGTTGGTGGGAGTCAAATTCCCAATCAACTAAACTCAAATACTAAAATTTGGAGATGAACTATTAGCTCAAAAGCCCAATTCAAAATTTTATATATATATATATATACATGGTAAGAAGTTGGTATAAGAAAACTGATAAGAAGTTGATAAGAAAATTATTAAATAGCTAGATCTTACATAGACAAAGCTAGGAAAAACTCCTTTTAAAAAAAAAAGTATAAGAAGAAAAGTTTACATCTTATGAATTGTATTAGAAAAAATAAAAACTAAAAATGTCACTTTTATTCTTATTTTATTATAATATTAATTTATGAAAATATGTAAATAATATAAAAGGAAAAGTTTAAAAACCTTTAAGAAAAAATTCCCTCCAACCAAACACTCCTTTAATGTTACGTGTCCGTTTGAGAATTTAACAAACATTGTCAACCAATAATGATTCTGTAAAAAAAATAAAATAAAATAAAATAAAAAGCAGAGTGCACCACTTTTATGCCAACCAAACCAAGCATCATTCCCCCACGACAAGGGCCAACAGAAATCTTCCATTCCATATGCATTTGGCAAGGTTTGACTAACAAACATAATTACCAATTTCCCACTCTCAATATGAACTGTGGAAAAAGATATAAAAGCATAAAAGCATCCACTCTTAACAAACCAAATCTTTGAGTAGTGGAGGAGACTTGGCAACCAAAAATCATCCATTAAAGGATTAGGATCCCTTCTTAGTTGGCATCATTCTAAAGCACCAAAAATGCTTCCAAATAATTTGGCAAGGATGCTCACAACTTGTTTACACACAAAATCACATCAATTTCTTTAAAAAAAAAAAAATTGGCACATTTCCTCAACCTCTTCTTTGCTTCCCATTATTTAGCATAAATTTATCAGCCAAACAATGCTTAGGATGTATCCTATCAATGATAATTTTCAATATAGGGGAGGTGATTCTTGAATCAACAACTTGGAATTAATTGAAGAAAACCTTGGATATATTGAGGAAATGTCTACTTCAAGGACATGAAAATTCTAAGGTGAGGACAAGAAAGAGCATAAGGAATATGCTTTCCTAAAGATGGAGGAATATAGAATATGCTTGGGTTTGGTTAGGCCAAATTAGTTGATCAAGATCAATCTGCCGTGATTTGCTATACCATACTATGAGGGCAACCCATTAAATTATGTTACCCAAGGTTTATTTTGACTTCAACCCTATCAACAATTAAGATGATTGAATGGAGCTGTGATTTTTATAACTACTATATTATATATATAATTTATTTCTAAATCTATATATTAACATTAAATCTATATATTAATATTTAATTAGGTGAATTTCTAAATTTTAAATTAGGTTTTCAAATGCAAGTATCAAAATTTAATAACGCAGATTTCTAAATTTTGAAATGATATCTAATTAAATAAAATAATGTCATTTAAAGTTGAGATTAATATACATTATATATACTCTATGAAAAAAAGTATATATCACTTCTGACTCTCAAAAATAATGGGAGTTCTAACCTTAAATTATGTT